AGAGAGAGAGGAGGGGGGGGGGGGCATCACCACATGTGTGTCGATTACACATACACGTACACAGGTCGGCCGGAGCAGTGGCGTGCGCACTCACACCGGCGCGCATGCACGCGCGAGCGTAGGCGACGTCGTTATACGGGGTGTCCGAGAATTAGCGAGAATCAGCGGCCAAGGCACGTTCCCCTGGAGTCGCGGGGAAAAAACTAGGGCCGATGGTGGAAGAAGGGGGAGTCGATTCTCGTTCGCGAAAGCGTCCGACCTTGTCCCCTTCGGAGCCGCTCGAGACGCGAAAAGGGAGCTCTTCCCCGGAGTTGGCCCGCGGAACGAAACATTCGCAGCGGCGCGTCGTTCAGAGCGGATCTTACCCGAGAGAGAAAGCGAGAGGGAGAGAGACGCGTGAGGCGCAACGTAACGGAGTATTAAGATTTTCAAAGCGAGCCAACTCAAATTGAAGGTGGAAAAAGTAGCGAGTTTCCGAGAACGAGAGGACGTGAATTTCGGAGCGCCGCGCGTACACTCGCACGCGGGCTCGCAACAATAAAATCGCCCGACGTGAACGCGCGCCGGGGCCCTTTCTCCACTCGGTGGATCCGGTCACGCTCGCTCGCTCGCGAGAGTGAATCTCCGCGCGCTTGGCACGGCAACGTCGGTACTTACATCTTAATACACGGCCGTGGACCGCATTCGTGGACCGCAGCGGGACGTTCCGTGGCTGGATGTGGATGATGCCTCACGAGCGTCGCCCGCCGCCGCCGCTCCCGGCCGCTATTCCGCGCGTATTACGCGCGACAGGATACGTCACTGATGCCGCTCTTCCTCTCCGCCTCCTCCGTCGGCGGGGGATACCGTCACTCGCGATACACACGGTACGGCGCGCACAGGTATCGCGGTTACTACCACTGTCGCGCACTCCCGAATCCGCTCGCTCGGCCAGGTTCGCGCGACGCGACGCGGCGCGACGCGGCACGACACGACGCGACGTTCGCCACGGGGCGGCCCCTCTCTCGCCCGCGAGGGGAGCGGAGGCCTGCACACGGAGGTTGGACACTCTCGACGACGCGGCGGACACACCGCGAGGAGGAACACGGCTTGCCCTCGTTGCCGCGGACGCCCCCTCTTGCGTGGCGCAACGCGGGATGCGGGTCGCGTTGACGCGAGGAAGCGGTGCACGCGCGCGGCTCCCGTCACGCAGAGAACGCCGAAAATCCCGAAGAGATATTGACAAATACCCCGGACTCGCGGCGCGGCGCGGCGTCGCGCGACATCGTCTTTCGATTAACGTGGGTTAACGCTCTCGCCGAGGCATCGCGGCGCCATCGCGCGGCCGCGCGCGCAACCACCGACGGCCGCCATATTGAACTGGCGCAGGCGCGTTCGAACCCATTTTTACGTCTTCGGTACATCACGTTCGATGTCGATTATCAGTCCCCCGCGATTCGACTCGTATCTTGTTCCAATTCTTGCAAGGAGATGGAAAGTTTCAGTTCAACCGAGACGAAAGTTAATCCACTCAAGATGGACATTGTCGAATCAACGCGAGATCACGGCGACTCGGAGATACCTCGAGCGACGAGCGACGCAACGGGACCGTCGTACGACAAATGTTTCAATGTACCGACCGCAAAATAGATAAATCCTTGAATCTTTAGAAATTTTACATTTTGTAACCTGCCTAAGTTTATTGCACAAGCGAAATAGTACGCGCGATGCGAAAATCTGCAAGACAACAAACCTGTAATAAACGATCGTGATCGTGCTCGGGAAAAGAAACTCGGCGCAAGCCGTGCGAGCGCAGCGTCATCCAGCGGCGAACGCTCTCAGTAGCGCTGCACGGCGAGCTTGCATGCCGCATATATACCACGGCTCCCCACCACCAGCGCGCCAGCCAATGAGCGCGACGCGCCGCCGTGTCGAGCGCCGTTCCTCCGTGCGACCTGACGCAGCATCATCCACCGGCGAACGCTCCCAGGAGTGTCGCGCGGCGCGCTTGCATGCCGCTTATATACCCCGATTCCCCACCACCAGCGCTCCAGCCAATGGACGTGGCGCGCCGCTGCGTCGAGCACCGATTGGTCGGCGCTAGCATTCGGCTAGCGTATATAAGAGCGGCGCACGCGAGCTTCGCCGCAGACGGCAGCGGCAGCGCGACCGTGCAGGTTGGTTCTTGCGGCAGCGGCACTACTCCCGGACGAGAGCAGCTGGATCTACCAGTGGAGGGGATGTGGTGAGGGGGCCCGCAGGCCCGCTCAGGTTAGCTGAGCATCTTTGCGAGTTAACCTGAGGTGCCTCCCCACCACCGGCAACCATGGATGCAGCCGCTGCATTGACAGCGGCTTTCGTCTAGAACTGTCTTGCGCGGTTCTGTCTATGCGTATTGTCGGCGAGGCTCACTGGAACCGTGAGCGCGGCAGTGTGGACTACGACATAAAACTTGCGTAATAATATTATTATCGGGTTTACCTCGAACAGAGACTGCCGCGAGAAACGCGGAAATTAATTCGAACGCGACGCCGCAGCGGCGCGTTGCGTACTGTTTGCAGCTCGAGATTCTTAGTATCGATATGGTCCTCTCGAGAAATATAATCGATGTAAAGAACTTGAAACGATATCTCGAGGTCTCGATCGAAGCGGAGAATCTAACCTGCACCTTCCTGTCGTGTACGATGTTTACCGTTTCGGTCGACGCTTCGTCGTTAAAAATATATCGTGCTTTTATTGATATTAGGCAGATTTCTGTTATTAAGAGGAATAATAGAAATTAACATCCTACGCTGAAATTGATGTAAATATATATTTTGTACCTGCGAATCAGAAAGGGCCAGCGAGTGAGTTGTTTATTTCCCCGACTCTTTATAATTCATGAAACGTTTATATAAATAATTAAACATTCTTTGGAAGATATGCTTATTTAAAAATATGCAATAAAGAGACTCCCGCGAGACTGTAACGTTCACTTTTATGTGAATAGTTTTAGGAGGGTTTAAAAGAGTTATGGTGTCTCACGCCGTTGTTTATTGTTTATTATTATACGCAATGTGCAAACATTTATATGGATTAATTCCCGTAACCCTTAAGTTATATCTTCTCCGTTAGAAAGATGGATAACATCTTTGGGAAGGAAGACTCCGGCGATGAAAGAGACGGCGAACGTAAGGACGTCGAAGAACATAAGGATAACAAAAGTAGTCCACCACAAAACTCAGGGTCTAAAGACGCCGAAGTTATGGAGGTCGACAGTGTGCAAGTTAAGGTATTGAATGCTGTCAGACATTCAATTTTATAATTCATATCTTTTAAATTAACTGACCAGATTTGTATTATTTAGGCAGAGTCGGACGCAATGAGCTCTCGGTCGCAGTCGGACGCTGAAGAGACTATAGAAAACGTAGGCTCTAATGCTGCCTGCCCGGTTGCGGAGACAGTAGAGATTGTGAAGCAGGAGCTTCATACGAAGGAGGAGGAACAGATCGCGGAAGATATATTCGGTAATGACATTATGATACCTCGCCCTAACCCAGTCAGTTCTACGAAAGAAAGGCGGGAGAGCAAAGAGAAGAGCAGAAAGGAAGTAGAAGAGGAGGAGAGGGAAAAGATGCAGTACGTGGTTTAAACTCTGACGTCAACGTGTACGTGTACGCTGCGTCAAGAATACATTCGGTAACTTTTCTTTTGTAGGGTGCTAGTGTCTAACTTCACTGAGGATCAACTCGACAGATACGAGATGTACAGACGATCTGCATTCCCGAAAGCCGCTATAAAGAGGGTGGCGTACTTGATTTTTAATCGTTACTCAAAAGAGAAAAGAAATAGCTATTCTGCCATTAATAAAGTATTGTATTAAATGTGTTTCAGATCATGCAAACCATAACGGGCTGTTCAGTGTCTCAGAACGTTGTCATAGCTATGTCAGGCATTGCCAAGGTATTTGTTGGTGAAATCGTTGAGGAAGGTAGGAGCGCTTTCTTACAAACGTTGGAACATTGGAACGCTATTCTAGATTATTGCGCTTGTTGCAGCTCTAGATGTTATGGAGACCCAGAATGAAACTGGTCCGTTACAACCGAAGCACTTGAGAGAAGCCGTCCGCCGATTAAGACTGCAGGGTCAAATACCGAACGGTCGAGCGCACAAAGCATTTTTCAGACTATAATCAGCTCCATATTTGCATATCAATTATATATAATATATTATTTACGGTAGTTCTCTCATGCGTCGACTGCAATGCGTGGAGTAAGCCTGACATAAGGAGTAAGAGAGAACTTTTAGCGTAAGGAAGCTAAAATACAGGCATAATTTTTAAAATATTTGTAATACTGGCCGCGATTGCGTTCTCATTCGCCGTAAGCGTGAGAGCTGAAGAAGGAGTTAGAAATAAACTTGATTTATTTCCTTACTCCTACTGCTTACTCCAGGCTTACTCCACGCATTGCAGACGACGCAATACAGAAGCCTATGGACACTTAGAATTTATGAATGTAATGTAAGTATAAATTATGCGATTCGCCCAGTGGTCACAATCGGGCCTTTTACATATTAAATTATTACGGCTGTTCACCTTTTACATTCTAAACGTTATCGGTTAGTTAAAACTCATTATGATAGATGTACATTTTACTAGCAACCGTTTTACGTTTTCCATCTTGAAGCATATTAAGCCGAGTATAATTATGTATATTTTTATATTGCAAATTTTATCATTACATAATAATTATCAATTTTAGATGATTGTGAGTCGTCAAGGCACGTGGATCAGACAAACAGCAAATATTTTGTTACATACTCGGTACACATGCATGCAATCATATGCAAGTTTGTATTTCGGGAGTTTCACGAATACAATGATCATGTTACATCTCGTACGATAAGAAAGTCTAGTGTTACGTATTTATCGGAATTTTAAGTCTCCCGCGGCATTTTCCCCTAGACTCAACATCGAAAGTTCAGCGCCGCGCGAGGCGCACTCATCGCGAGGACTAGGGCCCTTCGTGTCCTTTTCGGTTTAGCTCGGTTAGTTAGTTGGTTGCTGCAAGGCGGGCTAGCAGACAAGATCGCTCTGGTAGGCCCTCGTAAGCAAGCAGGCGTGTGCGACAAGTCCGATATCTCTGGCGATACACAAAGTTGCGGTGTGCATCGAGAAAATCAAGCGTGTAATCTCCGAAATATACACATACAAGCTAAGAGAAGCCTTGTTCCTTCTCAACCCCGCCGACTACGAGACTTCCATTAGCAACCTGGAGACGCGGGGAAGCACGTCCCTCAAGTCACGTGCTCAAAGTACAGGA